TATCGCGCCCCCCTTTAGGAATTTCGCCCCCCCATATAAATTTTGAATTTTTGATCTAAAAACCAAACGATTGCAAGTTGAAAAGATTTATTGTGTGATTTATTTATTTATTACAAGGAGACAAAATCACATACACATTTTAGGCTTCTTAGCAGCTGGTGGTGTGCGCAGTCTGCATAACCGAGTAATTTGAGGTACTTAGACTAGTGTCATATTCTACACATCTAAAGTGGAACCTTCACAGAGATCGCATAAAATCATGTTGTCGTATTCTTCTGGCAGTTTACATTCACATAACATATTATAAAAACAATCGCTTGCAAATTTTATCAATACGAGTGTTAACAATAGCCGCCACAGTAATCACTTGCTAACAATAAACTATAGGATTAGTAAAAAATCCATGGAATTTGTTGGGAAGCGTATTGACTATTGTCCGTTGAATCGTCAACTTTCTGTGTCAGTGATGTAATCTTGATTCTTCACTTCCGCAAAGAAAATTGCATTGTATATGTGGTGTGGTTTATTGAAATAATTTCATGATACTTTGATTTTATTAGTGCATGCCTTAAACATTTGAGAATGTAACTCTGCAAAACTAAAAGCTTTCTTGTCTTTTTTGCTTCTTTGAAACGTATATTATTGGATTATTGCCTATTGCCAAGTTCTACACTTCGCTTCTGAGTTTACAAACTATATTGAAATAATGCAAGTAAAAAATAGTGACAAACCATACATTTTCCGATAACGACAAAACGTGGATGCAAAACAATACCAATAATTACAATAACCACCACGGTGATTAATTTTTAACAATGAGTTTAAGGATTAACACTGAAAAAATGCAAAATATGCATGGTGTGCTGTGAAGCGTCATAAGTCCTATTGAGTATTCATCTACTGTAACTGTGTAAAGCCCTTTCGATACATGTAATTGTAAATTTGTATTCTTACATGCAGGGCTTGAAATAACGTTCCCAAAGTTCCCGATCATGGTGATCGGCAGTCGTGACTTTCCCTGCTTTTTTCAGGTTGGAAACCGAAACCTGCTTTTCCGCCGATCATAAGCAATTCCTTGCCGATCATTGATCGGTGATCGGTTGTTATTTCAAGCTCTGTCTTAACAATTTTGAATTGATACTGATTTCAAATGATTAAAGCCATGTAATAATTATCCCATGCAACTGTTAGGAAGGGCGAAATTTTGAACGGAGGACGAAAATCCTAAAGAAAAGGTGAAGTTTCTAAAGGGGGGCGAATTTCCTAAAGGGGGGCGAAATTCCTAGGATTTTCGCCCCCCTGGGGGGGCGATATTCCTAGGAATTTCGCCCCCGGGGGGGCGAAAATGTAGGGGGGGCGAAAATCCTGGGACACCGGGATATTTAATTTCGCGTGTGTAAATTTCGCGGGGTTTTATATTCGCGCGACTTTAATTTGGCGATTTTTTTTCGCGCGAATCATAAAATGTGCTTCCGGTCTTGTGACCATAGAATCAGATATAGTTCATTCGTTCACTTCATTCAGTAATCAGTGATGAAAACTTCCAAATTTTTGAAAAACGATGGCTTCTTGTGTCGGTGGTTATCCACAAGAACGTTTTCAATATCCGGTAGATAAGAATTTCTTCTGTCCAATTTGTACAGACGTACTAAAAGATCCAGTGCAATGCCACAACCAACACTACTTCTGTAAAGCATGTATCACAAAACATCTCGAGAATTCTAAGACGTGCCCTATATGTGTTGAAAAACTGACGGAGGAGAATCTAAATAAACCACCAAGAATCGTAACAGATTATTTAGATGGATTGATAATCAATTGTGATTATAGTGAGAGAGGTTGCACTGAGTTCCTGGAACTTGGAAATCTTGCCAATCATACTCCAATGTGTGGTTATAGACCTGTGACTTGCCCTAATAAAAGATGTGAGACAACAGTAAACATGAAAGACCTAGAACAACACAGGATAGAGCATTGCGAGTATAGACTGATTTGGTGTCAGGAATGTGATGAGGAAATGTCTGTTAAGAAATATGGTAAACATACATGTATATTGAGTAAAGAAATTGATGAAATGAAAGCAATGTTGTTAGAAGTGAAAGATGAAGTCACCAAAATCTGCAAGAATCAAAATGAAAAATTAAATGAAATACAACATGCTCTAGACAGTAAGATGGATGAATTACTGAAGGAGATTCATCTTCTCAGTTCTAAAAAAGGCTCAGGTAAAGATCAAGGACTATCTCCTCCACAAGCCCAAGCCACGAGTTCAAGCAGTGCAGAAACTGACAAGAATATTATGATATTGGGTGGGAACAATAAGATTTCATTAAGTTCTGTTGAAATGTATTCCACTAGCAAAAAGACCTGGATAAATCTTGCACCAACACAAGAATCCAGAGTCTCCTCAACTGCACACTATTATGAAGGCAAAGTTTTTGTCACAGGTGGGCATTGCAATGGGTCACCTGTAGGGAGCATAGAGTACATGAACATCAGACAAGGACAGTGGCTTCCTTTTGCACGTCGTCTTCCAGTCAAATGCCATGGCCACAACTCAGTCATCCACAATGATCGACTATGGGTTATTGGAGGAATGCTGGTTAAACAACCATGTTCCGATTCCATTCACGAGATGATGCTTAATCCACCATACACTTCAAAGCTCAAGTGCAAGTTGCAGGAGCCGCTTGCCTACCATGGCTCAGAAGTTGTTGGTAGTAATATTTTAATCCTTGGTGGTTCTACAACTGGTTATCATCAAGATGCAGTTAGCCATGTTTCTCTATACAGTACAGTGCAGAACAGAATCCGAAAAGTTCAAGCCTTACCTTTTCCAGTCATGGACATGACAACTGTCAAGCATGGAGATGAAGTCATCATCATTGGTGGTAGAAATCAAAAGAATGAAATTTTAAATTTGGCTTTGGCATACAATTATAAAAAGTCTAAATGCCGACAGTTGCCCAACATGAAGCACAAGAGAGCAGAATGTGCAGCAGTTATATCTGGGAATAAGGTTTATGTCATGGGAGGCTTCAATTGGGAGAGCAGATATCTTAATTCAGTGGAATGCCTGGATCTTGCAAACCTACTTTGGGAAGACCTACCACCCATGAATGAAGCAAAAGATAAAATCAATGCTGTTTCTATACCTAAATTCCTCCTTTGATCCTCCCAGGATTCTACATAATTTAATATATGTCACTGAAGTAGGATAGATATTGAAAAATGCATGTTTTACATTCAGTAGCTTCGCATTCTGATCACAATCTTTATCAACCATTTGAACAATGGACTGCATGCCATAGCATGTTATATATGTTCGAGTGAACAGCTAGGTCATGTACTAATTAAGTACTAATCAATTTAGAATATATTGTTTAAGTATGAATGTATCAATCAACGATTCAACCTGCAAAAAACAATTTAAAATAATCATCAATAAATTTTCACAAAATTCTTGCAAACTGTGAAGAGGCCAAGAAGAAGTGAAAATTGTTTTTTTCGAGTCCAAACAAAAAATAAAGAAGTCAAAATCGAGTTATTTGGCATTGATCAATTGCTCAATTCAATGTACCAAATTGTACCAAATATAATTGGATCTGAGCATGCACAATTACAGCCTACCAACCCAACACCGCTAAAAAACATCTGCGCAGCATCAACTTTTACTGAAATTTGCCTTGCGAACCCAACAGTCTCATCATTTTAATATGTCGATGTATATCATAAGGTCATACTTAAATCTATGATGTAATCATCATACATGTGTACTTTTATGTATGATGTATATTATCATACAGAAACATTGATAACCTGATCCACCCCACCCCCCCCCCACTCTAACCCCTAACTAGAGTCACCTAACCCCCCTAACCGGCTCACCCTAATGGCAAGGTGAAACGAAAATTAAAATTTCATAATTAATTTAATTCTGTTTCTTTTTAGATTTTAAATGTTAGAAAACTTTTTATTATTGTCTAAACTACCTGGCTAGTGTATTTTTTTGTTAATTAAATAGCCATGTTTTTGTTTACATTCGGCCATTTTTTCTTGTATACGCGCATGCGCAGACGTTTTTCCTGTCAAACTTGCATGGTCTCTGAGGGGAAGCTGGAATTGGATTGAAAATAGGTTGGAAGAGAGGTTTATACCGCAAAAGAAGGTCAGTATATAATCTTAATTTATTGTTAAATATGATGTGGTATGAACTGAAACGTGTCACTGTGAGCGTGAGATTGTTTCAAAATCTGAATTAAGTGCATCGTTGATCTTTTGCACTGAACACTTGCAGTTATTACACAATCTCGTACCCAGAGCCATCGTTGATGGCTCTGGGTACGAGATTGGTTATTACAGTGTAAGCTAAATCGTTAATACCCGATAATATTCCTTACTCCCTAGCGAAATATTTATGCTGGTTTATGTCATTATTTCCCCTAAATTAGAATGTGCTTGGTCAATGTGTGATCACCCAGTATGGAATGAAGGCGATGTGCATGGCCCCAATAATCCCTTTGTGCACATTGGTGCACACAATTTCCTTCTGTTATTGGTGCACAAAAAATTTGGATTTTCACAACGTACGTTATCTATATATATTTTTAAAAACTACTGGAACTATGGTGTGTAACAACTAAATAATTGGTGAATTCAGAAATTCTGACCTTTGCTGCTACACACTTGCTACCCCCCCCCCCCAAGAATCTTAATTTTGAACGTGCACAGGTCATGAGCCCGCTGGCTATGTGCACAACAGGTGGTGCACAGCCAAAGTTGCGTTTAAATTGTGCGGTGCACAGAAATGTTACATTCCATACTGGGTGATCACGGTGTGATAACTATAAAATATATTGCAGACTGGAATCTTTGTTGTGCGCGGGCTGGGAAGTTCTTGTCCGTGCAATTTTGATGCTTTCTATGTATTTACTATTAAATTTTCGAAATCTTCCCCGCGCAATTTTCACAAATAACATCGAATCGATGTTAACGTCGAATTGACGTTATTTATACTTCACCCACCCACTCCAGATATAAACGTCGATATCCAGTCGTATTTTGACTTTCGTATTTATAATACAAAAGCTATACTGTGATAGTTCAAAATAGTTTTAATATATTACAGTCAATAGAAGTGTTCTGAAAAATGTTGACCAATTCATTTCCTAATCCTAACTTGAAGGAACACCTCTGAACAATTCCTCAACAATTTGATAAGTTCCTTAAAAAGTTCCCAACTTCCTGTTTCATTGACCAATCAAATTTTATATTTTATTTTTGAGCAATTTGATTGGTCAATGAAACAGGAAGTTAGGAACTTTTTAAGGAACTTATCAAATTGTTGAGGAATTGTTCAGAGGTGTTCCTTCAAGTTAGGAAATTAATTGGTCAACATTTTTCAGAACGCTTCTATTGGCACGACTGTAAACATTGTTGTAAATATAGCTAAATAATCCATTTTCAGTTATTACTATTTTCTTTATCATGTTTCGCTTCGCTTGGATAATCCTTCTTTCCGCCCACATGACAGATGCTCTCTCTCTGCGTTGTATATATATGTGTTGTAAAGTGTTGTATTTCATTCTGTCTGAAGATGACTTTGAAATAAGTAAAAAATTTACAGTCTCAAACTGCATCTTGTTTTGAATTATATATTGAATTCTCAAGA